GGAGATGAGCAGAAGGGGTGTGTGAATTCAGTCTGCAGTGATGGAGGAGAGAAGCTCTTCTCTCTCTCTTCTTGGAAACTGCCAATACTGGGAAGGGTTAACAGGGCAGTCCCCGAGGACGGGCGCTGCACGCAGGGGCACACGTGCACTCCACGATTTAATTAACAGAGAAAACGCCAAACGTTGGAGACGAATTTCTTTTCCCGAGCAGGACTATGTATTACCTACTTTAAGCACAGCCCGGTTCATGCATATGCAACGTTCTCCACAAACACCGCACGTGGTGCGGGAAACAATCCCGTAGATGAGGATGCGAAAGGAGGTCACTAATTCTCTCGGAATATCTCCGGGATGCAGGCGCGGCGGCCCCGCACGCGATCCGTGCCCACCGCGGGGTCCCGGCGCTGCCCGCCCGGCTGTGCCAGCGCCGCCCGCCCTGACCCACTTTCCCGCAGCATTTCTGCATAGCGACAGAGGTCCGAGCAGGACAAGTGTCACCTCCCAGCCCACGGGATTCTCCGTTCCCTACTGCTTCCACTGCAAGGATGTGCCCGGCATTTACACGCAGGCACACACGAGCACTCGGCACTGCACACAAATGTAAGTAAACACAGAAGTGCCAGGAAGAGAAGGAATCACAACAACAAAATCCCGTTCTTGTTTGCAGAATATTCCTCTGAAGTAGGCACAGGGCTATGACAGCGGCTACATGAATATCCATCTCATGGATCCTCCCTGGAAGAAGCCTGGCAGTTCCATTCCGGCCAAAGCTCTTTTAAAGGGACTTTGCTCATTTCTGGCTGGTCTGAGCATTCCTGTTGCCCCGAACCAATCCTGCCCTTTCCCTTCCACCAAAAGGAATCCTAATGCACTGAGCCACCCAGAAAATTACAATTCCTTCATTACCCCCAGCCAAAGCTCTGACACTGTGAGGAAATGCATTTTCCCACTCCAAGCCCCTCACACCTCTCGTACTGTCCTATTTCCTACTCTCTCAGTCCCTATGGAATTACAGTGTATTGACTGCAGATGCACTGGCAGTTCTGATGTCATCTCAAGGTTTTTTCTTTTTTATTTTTTTCTAGGTGAAGCATCTATATTTCCTCTGTTCTGAAATTTTGTGCTGAAACTATAACAAGCCAAAAATCTCTTCAATGGGAAATTTCACAAGCAGAGGATTATGACTTCAGCTCCAGAATAAGCAGCAGGAGCAGATGGAACTCTTCAGAAACAATGATTCCATTTTCATGCAAATTTCCTTAGTAGTTAAAAAAAGACGAGGAAGAAAAAAAACCACCAAGATATCAGAATGGTTTCTAAATGGAAGGTTTTTGAATGATGCTAAAAGCAAAGGGTTGGTAGCTCTCCACAATCCCAAGCATTTTAGCAGCAGCCAGTGGAAAAAAAAAGAAAAACCATGACAAACTAAACCCAGACTCCATCCCCTCTCAGAGTCAGGATAAGGGAAAGGGAAAATGGAGTGAGAGTGTATTTTAGGTTTTATGATTTTCAACATCCTCGGTTTTGTGCTAATGCACACTTCAGAGCTAATTCTTATGCTCTTTAGGAGCACAGGCTTCATTCATGAAGCAGCATGACAAAAATTCTTTATCCACTTGATGACTACAGAAGGTGACAGGCAGCGAGGCGCAGCAGCCACGGGGACCCTGTCGGAGTGCTAACCTGCAGCGCTGCTCCTCGAGCACAGCGCTCCCCTGATTGCAGCAGCACACACATGCATTTTTCATAGCCCAAATGTGGAAACCCAGCCAATTCTTTTGTTATTAATACTGGCAGCATACCCTAAACAACAAATAATGCACAGAGTTAGCAGACCCCATTTCTGGCTCTTCTACTGACTTCTTACTCAGTTTTGGTCTTGTGCCTTCCTTTTGCCCTTGTGTTTACTCCTCAAGTGAGACAATTCAAGCTATTCCCTCGCTCCCAGAGTGGTGAGGACAACAGGCTTTGCACACCACGGAGTGGGACTGCCTCTGTGCCACACCACAGAACCAACCACTGTCCTGCTGCACACACAGAACACACATTCATGGTAGGAACTGGAACTCTTCAGAAGGCCCAGGGAATTCTACTTTTACAGGCTGCTCCTTTAAACTGAGGTTTTAAAGCCGAGAGGGAACGACATGCACAGAGGAGTGGGGATGCAACCAGCTGCTGTTTGTCTCTGCCTCCCCTGCACGTTGGACCAGGGGAATGCTGCAGCCAGGTCTCTCTCCTGTGCAGCATCCGGGTGCCAGCACAGAGCTGCTGCCACTGGGCAGCTCCGGCCCCAGCGACGGTTCCTTTGGATCACCCTCTCCAAATCCAACTGTCCTTCCTGGCACAGTCTTTCCCTGATGCTGCTCCTGATGTTTTGCAATGAGGTTTCATAATTGCCTATCAATTCTATCAAACAATTCTATCAAACAATTTCTATCTCACTCAGTTTCACATTGATTTTTTAAATTAGTTTTATCCTGCCTTTTCCATGCAAAAGCAATATAAAGTTGGTTTCAAATAAGGCTACAAAGAGTGTTACAGGCTTCTGAGCCATGTGTTCAATACCAAGAATACTTCTGTTTAATCCCATTCTACCTACACTTATCCCTTTCATCATGTCGCTAGCCAAATCTTTTCACTTTGAATTTGCTCTCAAACTGAATCTCCTTCCTTCCTCATCTAGTTAGATGGATTTAAGCAATGACAGCTACTGAAAGGACAGAGTACAGACAAAATAACCTCAAAAATGGGCTCAACAAGCTCTTCCTTGCTTACTTCTGAGCAGAAGGATGTAAAGAAACAATTTCCTCGGTTAATCCTTCTTTGACCCAAATTAACTTTTTCCAAACTATTTTCTTAAATAATTTGTTTTACAGTCTTGCCTGAATAAACTCGGCAATAGACATGTCTTAGTTGCCCAAGGAAAGGAAGAGAACAGCAGTGGGGAGGGATAAGAAGATAATTTGGCTGGTCCAACCAGTGCAGTGCTGCATGTTAGGGTGGTGGAAGAGGGGAGGTTCAGATTAACACTCTGGATTTCTCTCTATTTCTCAATAAAGATGACATAGGGGGAGAAGAAGATACATATTCTATCCTTTAACCCCCCCACATGTTCACATGCTGGGCTTTGAGGTATGAAGAGAAACGAGACCCATCTGCCCCAGGTCTCGCCTGTCTGGGTCAGCACACTGAATCTGAACAAACTCACTGGAAGGTTCTTCTTTCCTCCTCCCCCTAACTGCAGGACGAAAACTGCCAGAAAGACTCAAGAATAACTGGGAGAAGCACAAGGGAGCACCAGCATTGCCTCTCCTTTAGCTGCCTCAACAGACCTCCTTTGCTTTTCCCTTTTGACTTGGGTAAATTTTATGCAGCAAAATCTAACACCAAGCTGGTGACAGTACTGTAAAATGTCTGAAGGGCTGAAAACTGGGTCGACCCCCACCTCCTGCCCCCAGCCCCATCACCACTGACAGGGTCCTGCAGGGCCCAGCTCTGGCTTGCAGGAGCAGCCGTGGCACAACGGCCGCAGTGCCCTTGCTGGGGGAACTTGTTTTCCACGGCTGCTCCAGCACTTCACTTCCCAATAGGAAATGATGTTTTCCATAGACTTAGTGAAACACGGTTCTAATTTAGTAATTGCAGTGTACATCCAACTGAACAGGACCTGGTGTTTGGAGAATGAGAGCAACAGAATTAGGACGAGCCTCAAAACACTCAAGCGACTCAGCCATTTGAAGATCACCTCTGATGGGGGACAGAAAGAGGCACCTGGAGACTGGCATGTGGTTGTGTTTATACACTGTGCCAAAACACTGTTCCCTTTTCTAGACCCTAACATTTCATATTGAGGACTTTTATATTATTTCTGCAAATATTAAAATGGGATCCGCAGCCATTCAGATGCCTTGTAAAGCCCATATTACCCTCAAACACCCTCTTAAGGTTTCATCTTTTATCTTTCATAAACAGGATCAGAGATGATGGTGGTTTTGAGTCAGAAGCACATTCATAACCCAGCAAGTACCAGAACGTGTATTTTAACAGCGGCATCAACTACATTTCAGTAGAATCACTAAAATCCCCAAGTGACTTGAGAAGTGAAAGATAATCTTTGAAAGAGGAGGCAGAGGAAGCTGTCTGGGAACTGGAAAAGTTACCAGACTGGTGATTACGGGCAGAATGGACAGCAGATATGAGTTATCTCCTTCACACTCATGACAAGGAGGTGGGAACCTCTTCATCCCCATCAATAGCAGCTGCATGGCACTGATATGAGCCTGGGTCACTATTAAAGCAGTATGTCAAGCTTTTTTTTTCTTTTTCTTTCCAAACTGCTTCCTTTTGGACGAGCTCCATGTAACTGTCATTTGCTTTCTCATTTCATTTTCATTTTCCATCTATGCATTCATCCAGCCCTTGAGGGGGAATTCTACAGAAATCCCTGTCAAGAATGCCCACAAGGGCCTTCTGACCCACCCCCTCACTGCTCTGCATCCCTGCCAGTGACATCATGGCACGTCCAAAAAACTCAACAAGCCTGAGTTCATTTTGACCAGCAAAAAGGCAGGAACCGCTGGGACACTTTCCTTTCCTCCATCACCTGTGGCTGCCCCAGTGTGTGTGCGCTGTCCCAGGGCACTGGGGCTGCTGGGCCACCAAAGCAGAGGAACCCAGAACCACCAGTAAGAGCTACTGAAAGCATTTAACAACAGCAAAACACATGTAGTGCTAAAAAGAACCTGCCCTATGGCGCAGGACTGTAGGTTGGAAGGGACCTCAGGAGCCACCCAGTCCAACCTCTCCTCCAAGGAGGGTGTCTAGTGCTTTGATCTGCCCGTGTCAAAATGTTCTCAGAGAAGAAAGAAAGTGACTGAAAACAATGAGAGAAAGGTGACTAAGAAACCTGGAAGAGATTGAGGTGAGAAAATAGAACATGGACACACTTCTCAGCCTCGGGTTCCCTCTGAAAACACTTGACAAAAGCAAAGTTAGTGTACCTCTGTGTGATTCTGGACACATCCCAGTGTCTTGTTTCACTGTTCCAGCATCGTTAGAGGATACAAACAAGTTCGTGGGAGCAGCTTTGAGCTTTGTCAGTCTCAAACCACCGAAACTAGCAAGGTAGTGGAGTTCATTCATCCTCAGGTGGCCTCATTGAGAACGTGCTTAAAGGCGTTTTATTTCTGTCCTGCCAAACAAACGGCAATGTCCTTCTTGCTGTGCTAGAAAGTGGAAGGGAAACAAAACCGTGTGGAAAATCCCCTCGATGTTACATGTGGTTCAGGGCAGCTTTGCCCATGGGTTTGGGGGGGTCGTCCAGCCGCTCCAGAGGGGATACCCGCGGGGTTTTCCAGCACCCCCGCGTTCCTCGAAGGCGCTGGAGCCGCTCTGTGACACATCTCAGGAGTCTTTAAGTGCGACCACGAAGTGGCCTCGCGCCGTTGCCCGGCCTTGCCCGTAACCCAGTTTCCCGGTGGCCCGGAACGCCCGGGCATAACCCGGCCGGGGCTCGGGAGCCGGCGGAACCAGGCCCCGCCGCCGCCCGCCGGGCCGGCTGACAGCCCCGCGGCGGGGCCGCCGGGCGGGGCCGGGGCGGGGCCGGGCCCGTGGAGGGGCCGGGCGGGCACACGGGGCCCCGCGCGGTGCGGGGGGCGCGGGGCAGGTGTGGGGCTTTGGCCCCTCAGCCCGGCCCCGAACGGCCCCGGCCCCTCCGCCGGCCCCGAACGGCCCCGGCCCCGCGCCCGCCGGGGGGGCGGGACGGGCCCTCCGGGGCGCGCGCGCGGCCCAATCAGGAGCCGGCCCCGCGCCCGCGCGGCCAATGGGCGCGGCGGCGGCGCGCACGTGACCGGGCGCGCGGCCGCCCGTCAGCGGGCGCTATAAAGCGGGGCGGGGGCGCGGGCGCGGCGGCCGCGGGGGCTCGGCGGGTCCGGCCGCGTTCCCGCCCCGCCCGCACCGCGACGGGGCCGCCGCTCCGCCTCGGCAGCCGCCGGGCCGCCCGCAACTTGGGGGAGAGCCAGCCCAGCGCCGAGCCGTGCCCGGGAGCGCCCCGCCAGGTAAGGCGTTAATCCGAGTGCCGCCGGGCCGGGGGGAGCCGCCGGGGGGGCGGGGGTCGCGCTGCGCCCCGACCCGCCGCCGGGGCTTTTTTTTTTTATTATTTATATTTTATTCTTCCAGTCTCATTTCTGCACGTGCTCCTTTGTTCTCCAACAGAAGCGCTTTTTTTTTTATATGTGTACACAGATATATATGTTCTATCCGCTAATGTAACGCAGCTGGAGCAGCCGCTCCCCGCCGGTACCGCGGGAGGGGGGAACGGGCAGCACCCCCCCTTTATTCCCTCCTCCCCCGGTGAAGAAGCAGAAACTCGAGCGATTCCGCGGCGCCGAAGTTGCTCGCGGGTGCGGGTCGGTAACCAGACACGCGTGTCGCCCGAGGGCTGGCGGGGAGGAACTGAGCCAGACGGGGACACAAAGGAGGGGGGCAGCCCCAGACACGCCGTCCCCGCCCCGCGGCGGCAGCGCCCGGCACCGCCGAGCCCCGGGCGGGGACGGCGAGAGGGAGACGAGCCCCCGGACCCCCTTTTGTCTGGCCCCGGTGGCACCTGCGGGGGCGAGCGCTCGGCCGCCCCGCCCGCGGACACTATCGCGACCGGCGACAGCTTAGCGACAGTTGTGGTGGTGGGAGAGGGGTGAGACAGCCCCGGTGTCGGGGGTCTCGTTCTGTGGCCGCGCGGGGCTTGATTCCATCAGCCTCACGTTAATTACCAAAACCACTGAAAATACAAAAAAACTGCAATAAAATGAGCCCCCACGTGCAGTATTCCTCCAATTCTTGCTCTGTCATACCCGATATTTTTCTTATCATAACTTGTTCTAAAAGAAATTTAACACATTTGCTCTCAGACTGTCGGCAGTGATTAACTGGACTCTGTATACAACATCTAGAAGAAATCTAACGTCTTTGCCCCTCCAGACCATCTGCAGTGATTTACTGTGACGCTCACAATAGGCTCTGTATAAGATACCTAAAAGAAATTTGACTTGTTTTCCCCCCAGACCCTCTGCAGTGATTAGCTGTGACACTTGGGCTCTGTGCACGATAAAAGGTGGTCAATGTACACTTAAAAATCTGGCATTGTCTAAGAAAATAATTTTCATAAACTTTTCCTGTCGTTTTCTCAGCAAAAACAGCCCATTATGAAAGCTCTGAGTAGAATTCCTCCACAAGTTCAGAAAGTTGAGAAGGGGGATGATTTACCCTCCTTGTTTTGTCCAGGAATGCAAGATAGCAGATTTTAAGAGTTAATAAGTATTAAAAGCCACGAGGAGCATTAAAAGTGCGTTTCCAAGCGGTGTGCTCCCCGCAGCCGCGGCGCAGAGCAGCCGGGCAGCGCCTGCAGCTCCACGCAGAGCAGAGGTTATTCACATGGCTGTTCGAGAAACTCCATTCATATCTCTGACTACCTGGATTTGAATAGAAACCAGACAGCAATTCTTTGGTCCCAGCCACTATTCGCCCCGCTGGACAATAGAGATTTGTTAGCACACAGGCACAAGCCCTGGGACACAAAGCTGGAGGCAGCAGAGATAGGGGCTTCACTGCACAGGAAATTACAGCTTTTGATGCACTGTTGGCAGGTCTGTCGGTTCAGAACAGCAACATGCCTGTGCCATGTTTAAGAGCTCCTGACTGCCATTTTTAACCACCTAGAATGTCATAAAAGCTTTATTGTCGCAGTACATAAAATCATGAAGTCCATATGGTTACTTTTCAGCTGCCCCGGGTCTGGAAGGCAGAAGTATGATCTGGCTGGAGAATTTAATTTGGGGAGTGTGGGGAGGGGGAAATTAAAAGAATTTGAAGACTAGAAAACCTCAAAGTGTTTATAAAAGCAGAGATTTGTTACCGAGGCAGCTGATGTCTAGCTTGAGATGAGGTGGTGTTCTAATAGATTTGTTTTAGGTGGTGGCTGTAAGAGGATGAGGCTGGACAGCTGATTTCATCCTAAAAGGTTCAGTAAATTTACTCCATGCAGCTCCAGCACCAGCTGTGGAGGAGGACATCGCTCAGTTGTGTCAACTTGGCAAACACCAAAATAAATAAGAAAACCCAAAGCGCTCAGTGTCTGGTACCTCCCATTTCCCCTGCTTTCCCCCCAGTCTGGAGTTAAAATGAGAACTGCTCGGAGACTGGGCTTTAATCCGCTGATTGGAGCCAATGAGCAGAAATTATTGAGATTAGAAACCCAACCAGCGGGTTTTATTAGCTGAGAAGCCAACCCCTCGCTGTGCGCGGCGCCGCGGCCGGGGCAATCCTCACCCAAGGAGCAGGAGGCTTGTGGCTGGTCCTCATCTTTTTTTTTTGTATTTTTCCATAAATCGTCCCTCCTCTACCACCTTAGTGCCACATAAAACACCTGGACCCATGGGATTTTAAGACTCTTAGAATTCTCCCAGGCACACAGTGTCAGGGTGTCTCTGGGTGGGAGCGTTGCTGTGACTGCAGTGGGAATGGGATGACTTGGCTCTTCTTCACCCGGGAAAAACAATGAAAGTGAGAGTTGTATATTGCATTTGGGAAATGTGTGTGTTTGTTATGAGCAGCAGAGATACAAAGCATCATAGAATACAGAAACAAATGCTGGGCTGTTTGAGTCCATATTAAGCACGTTTGAAAAGGGGAAGAATTTTAAAGTGAGGAAGGTCCATTTTCCAGGGTGTTTGGGAGACACCTGGGAAGAGCGGTGCTGATGCTCTGCACCAGCCCTTGAGACAGATGATGGACTTGCTTCCACTGCTCCTTTGAGCAATGTAGGACAAAAAAAGGCTGGATGACTAAACCAACACACTGTTAAAAAAGGTGCTACTTGTATGATTAACAAACACCCGCTCATGTGAGGGGCTAGCTCATAGAATTTTCAGCTGCTATATCAGAACATTAGAAATACAAATATGAATGTAAATACTTTTCACAGGAGTCAGTTTTGTCTGAGCAATTATATAATTTCCTTGAATTCTCCTCCTGATGGAGTACAATGGCTTGGGTGTATTACTTCTCAGTAAAACTTAGGTGATAAGAATCAGGCTAGATTACAATCAAGCTATTTTGATTTTACTTTCTTGCTGGTACTGACAAACCCACAAGGACCTAGCTAAAATAAGCCTTTGGACAAAAATATTATTATTTTAAATAAATGTAAGGATATTGATGGCTTTATCTACAAAACACTTTTAGATGAAATTCCACGGTATTCTTAAAATACAGCAACTTTTCTGTTACCTGTAAGACTGCTAATTCACCTAGATGCTGATTTTAAAACCTACCCCTTGAAAGTGCTGCCTAAAAAAAATGTGCTGAAAAGTTAAATTCTGTCCTTGCAGTTGCATTGTAAGAGTTTGAGTACCTGTTAAGGAGATAGTTTTGAATGGAAACCAGAACATTATAGGTTGGCAAAAAGAACTGCCTAATCAAAACAGCCACAAGAGGAATGTCTGGGCATAACCTGCCCCTGACAACATCCACAGACTCAGCCTGGACATGGGAATAATCCCATCAGGCACATAAGAAAAGGATGTTGATGGCTCTTCTTATGTGGTCAGGGTTTATTTAAACTGCACGTAGAAATAACAGATAATTCCAAAGTCAGTTTTCTCAACTCCAGTTATGGCTGTTCCAAGGGAAAGCTTAAAAAGCCTGGACCACTAACAGCCTTGGAAGTTGCAGTGTATAATCCCGCCTGTAAAATACAGTATTGCATTACAGGGTTGGTTGCCAATAAAAATGTGTCAGGTATGCTGAGATCTCACAACAGACTTGGCAATTTAACAAAAAATGTGGAATCCTAAGAATTTCATTTTATCTTAATAATAGCCAGCAGATGCTGTAATCGTTTCAAACCCACAGCATTGATTAATGGCACTCAACAGTTTCAAATGTTAAGAACTCAAAAGACAACAATTGGGTGTTTTGATGTTAAGGGTAACATGGAAGCATGTGTTTCCCTAAGAAGCACCATGGACATACAGCCTGGTGACATCACCTTTTCAAACAGACTTCAGTCATTCCTGCTCTCCCTGTTCTGCCTGAGAGTAGCTCAAACCATCTGCAGCTGCCCTGAGCTGTAACACAAAGAAATGAACCCAACTGCCAGGAATGACTGGGTAAAACTGCACATTTCCATGTGCCGACTGCTGCATCTCAACCCCAAGAACCCTCCTGCATTGGCAGTTAATTGTGCCACCTAAATACACACGCGCGTGAATGACTATTGCGGGAAACCTGGGAACGGGAATTCTGCTGCCCGGTAGCAGGTCCCTTTCCACCATTCCTACTTTGGGATCCTACCCAGTTCGGGTTACTCAGACCTGTGGTTAACCCGTGTTTGCCTCAGGAAGGCCAGACAGTCTGGGCTGCGATGCCAAGCTGTGATTAAGGGCAGGGGAACGCGGCGGGCGGGCTGGACGGGCACGCGGAGCGGGAACGTGCCCGCTCAGGGCGCTGCCCTCGGCTCACACGAGGCTGCTCTGCAGCACAGCTCCAGCTGCTCTGGCACACGGGTGACAGGGGCCGTGTGCTCTGGTGTGACTCCAGCCCAGGCACGGTGAGCCCTGTGGTGACACAGCCACTGCCTGTCCAGTACAGGCACATTGAAACGGAACGGGGCCAGCAAGCCATAGGTTATCCATGTTATCCATCCCAAACGTTCCAGCAATACGAGGACTGATTCTTAACTTGCTAACCTAAATCAGTTTATAGTTTTCTTGAAAAACACCTTGTCATGTGAGCGTTCGATGCTTTCCTACTTTGTTTCTTTTGGGCTTTGACCATAATTATTTTAGCACAAGAGTGCACATCCCTCTCCTCTGGTGTGCCATCCGCAGTGCCTCTGTAAATAACACTGCACCTCGAGCCTGGTGTCATGACCAAAAAGGATCCGTCTGGGCTATGAGCAGAGGTGGTCAGGGTTTCACCACACTCTGCAATTCCCAGTCTCCCATATTTACATTTCCAGCTGCACGCACGCAGTGCCCCGGAGTGGCAGCAGCTCCATTTA